CGATCGCCAATGTTTCTCCGAAATTAAGGTTAAAGGTCACGAGCCGCGGTGACAGTTATACTTTTCACACCTTAAGGTGAAAATAATCTCAGCCTCTGAAGCGCATTTCCCGCCACTGAGGTAACTGAAGCAGGGGCGTCGGACTGAAATATCATACGTCTTCACACAGGAGTTGACAGCACACAGTAATAATTTAGGGGAAACCCCCTTTTTTCGAAAATACTTCTTTTCAAAAAAATATGTAATAAAATTGAAGAAAATTGATATAATAAAAAATATTGTGTGAAAATACCAAAATATGTAAAATATGTGTACAATATGCAATATATATAAAATATGTATATTATGTAATATAGTAATATAGTATATGTAAAAATATGTAATGAGACAATTGGATATTGTGTTAGGACGGCGACGATTCACCAAGATTACAAATTTAAGAACGGTAAATAGAAAGACTAAAAGTATGTTAATACATAAAAATACGATCTCCATTCATCAGCACATATTCATTTGTCGTTCTTTAATTTGGCATCAAACTCGGTTTCAAGGTTTCAAATTTTCTTCCTTAACTTCTCCTGGACACTTTCGTTCCTGCTCATAGAATGGCACACACCATATCCAAGCCTATCTCTCAGATCTAAGGAAGCCTACTTTCGTCATAAATGCTTCTCTATCTTTGGATATGTTTTGCAGGATGACGCGTCAGAACATATCTAATTAAAACGTTATTATTGTCAATAGTGTAGTAACGAGCGAATAACTAACCAACTCATTGAATTGAGGTTTGTAAACATATGATAGCTGGTGTTTATGAGCCATCTAACCCAGTCCGTTCTTTGTGGTATCGGCGGTGAGTCGTTCAGTAATTTTTGTAAAACCATCTTCTGGTAAGAAAAATTCATTCAAACAAATATATTTTCTTTGAATAGCAGTACTCATACGCCATATTTTACATTGAATTTATTTCGTATCTTCTTCACGGAGCCGGCTGTTAAGAGTGGATTGTTTTCCAATGGTTGGTTGCATTATGAGAGTTTTTGTAAGAATTCAATATTTACGAAAATAGATATGTTGATACACAGTGAATATTTCCCGATTAATGAAATTGCGTAATTCTAATGAAAATTGCGCAACCTTTGAATTGATGACTCAGGGCTAAATGGACCTTCACTCGCACAGCGGCAGCACTTTCTGGCAAATTAGCACTCATTTTCTAACGACAGTACCGAGAAGTACACAGCTTACAATTAGAGAGCAATGGGTGGTGTTGCAATGACATTCTGCTGAACAAATGATTGAATTGAATTGAATTGAAT